ACTCGGTCCATCTGACTCGGGTCTTTTAGGGACTGACTCGGTCCATCAGAGTCTGACTCGGCTTCTGGGAGAGCTGGTTCTCCACCTCCTCCGTTTGCTTCCACTCCACCCTGCAGCCCGTTAGGGTCCAGCGGCAGAAACACATCCAGGGGAGCACGCTTGCTTTAAAATAACGAAAGTGATAAAAGAGTGAATTCTGTGAATAGTTGAGATAGGCGTGTGTTGCATGGAAACGATTCATCAGACCTGCTCGGACCTCACACGACGAGTCGTTTCAACGCCCCCCCAAGTCACGTCCCTTTTTACTCCAGAGGAGCTCAGCTACTGAAACCTGCTTCTAAAAGGTCAGATTTAAAGTAGAACTGCTAAAAGAGGGAGATCCAAATTTTAACCCGTTAATGTTGAACAACTTGTAATCTTTGGAGTGTGACTCTGAGGACGAGCTTGTCCTTAATATTTAAAATCTAGGTGTTTATTTTTTATTTTCCTTTGTGAATTTTGCTCGCCACGTGCTTAAATTTTTTTCTTGAATTTAATTTTAGGATGAAAGTATTTTCCAAAAGAAGGAAAGACGTCTGTTTAGATTGTTCCACAAATCCATGGATGTTTCTCACCTCCAGTCGTCTTGTTTTTATTTGTCCTGTCTGAACTTCTGCCCTGCCTTTGACTTCTTTCTTGGATTGTTTTACTTTGCTAGTTTTGTATCTTTTCTTGGGTTTTGTCACTGTTGTCATCTCATCTTGTTTGTTTGTTTGTTTGTTTGTGAAGATAAGCATTAAGATGTTATGAGGTGAGATCGATGGTCTCCATTTGTTTCCAAAACACCTGTCAGCAAAATAAATGATCTAAACAGAAAAAAACTGTCTGGCTTCTTTTTTAAACCAATTTTCACATCAGTGTACATGATTTATAATCACAAATTTAGGGCTTTTATTTGTTGTTGTTTTATATTATTATCATTTAATTCAACTAGAAAATAAAAAAATAGATTTTAACAAAAATGGAAAATGGCATTTAGGATCACATAAAAGCCCATTTTCTTCACTTTCAAAAACAATCAATTATAAAATCATTATTCCTTGACATCTTAATTATTGTATAAGTGATAGTATAAGTCATTATTTAGAGACAGCATTTCATATTAAGAATAGGGACTAATTGCACATGATTATAAAATAAACACCTCATAATAACAGTCTTAGAAGATATGTTTTATTCAGAGCTGCGCAAATGTGCATTTGTTACAGTCAGTATGAAAATAAAGTTCATTTAAAAAAAAAAAAGGCTGATTTCCACAAATCAGAGCTGCGTAAAACAAAAAACAACAATAACTCCGCCCTCTGCTATTTTTAACCAATCAGCATCGCCCATGTAGGCGGAGTTAGTTTCTTGAGAGAAAGAAAGAAGGGTTGCGTTGTTCGACTCTGGTTCGATCGTTCGTCGCCATTTTGAAGACTTGGAAGAAGCAGCGTAGAGGATAAATTACTCGGCAAACCTTTTGAAGTTTTTATTAGATTAATAATTTTTCATCGATTTACGACGCAATGTCTCGATTTAACAACAACCGTGGCGGTTTTGGGATGAATAACTTCCAACAACGCAGAGGCGGAGGTCCCGGAGGCCCGATGCGTGGTGGGATGATGGGGAACGCGCAGTTCCGAAGCCACCCTTTTCAGAATCCGAACCAGAATCGGAGAGGAACCAACAATTTCAACAGACCGCAAAACCAGGGAGACCAGAACACGCAACTTAAGCAGCAGCAAAACCAAGCGAGGCCCATTGTGCCCGCACCGAGTCCCGGCCAGGCCCCGACGATAAAAGGCCTGATGGACCAGGAGCTGAAACCGAACCCCCCAGCGTCCCAGCCGAAGGTGCAGACTCCGCCGCCAAAAACTGCCGCGGCGACCCCTCCGGTTAACCAGAACCAGGGAACCCAGAACCAACTGAAGCCACCGGCCGGAAATGCAAACGAGAAGAAGGACTCGTCGCAGCAGAGCCCGAAACCACCTGGTCCTCAGCAGCAGGGCCCAAAGCCTGCTACTCCCCAACAGGGCCAGAAACCTGCTGCTGGTCCCCAACAGGGCCAGAAACCTGCTGCTGGTCCCCAACAGGGCCAGAAACCTGCTGCTGGTCCCCAACAGGGCCAGAAACCTGCTGTTCCCCAACAGGGCCAGAAACCTGCTGCTGGTCCCCAACAGGTCCAGAAACCTGCTGTTCCCCAACAGGGCCAGAAACCTGCTGCTAGTCCCCAACAGGGCCAGAAACCTGCTGCTAGTCCCCAACAGGGCCAGAAACCGGCTGCTGGTCCCCAACAGGGTCAGACACCTGGCGGTGCTGGATCCCAGCAGGCCCAGAAACCTGGCGGTGCTGGACCCCAGCAGGCCCAGAAACCTGGCGGTACTGGACCCCAGCAGGGCCAGAGACTCGGAGGCGGTGGACCCCAGCAGGGTCAGAACCCAGGTAGTGTTGGATCCCAGCAAGGCCCGAAGTCTGGTCCTCAGCAGAGCCCCACGCCCGGACCCCAGCAGAACCAGAGGCCCGGACCCCAGCAGAACCAGAGGCCCGGACCCCAGCAGAACCAGAGGCCCGG